CTCTAGAAGAAGATATTGTTGGAGAAAAGGGCCCAAAATTTGGAAACCCTAGGAGCAAAGAATCGTTTCTGCACAGAAGGGTTTACCTAACCACTATTTACTGGTACCAAACATGGCTTCAAAAAGTAGTACCTTAAAGGTATACTACTATGTCGATATGATTTACTTTTAGGTTGCTGAAGGAAGTCATCTCTACAAGGTGAAGAAATGTACCAAGAAGCTGGCGTTCCTTCTCCTAAGACTGCAGTCCAAGAGACATCACTGTCACCTCATTAACATTCACAAAACCAACAAATCATTGCTGTGAAATGCTCATCTAGCCCTGAGACGACAGATCCCTGAGACCTGAGACAGACAGAGCTGAGGATGCTGTCCCTAGTGTCAAACAGGAAACTGAAGCTCCCAGAAGTGAAATCCTTCTGAATGTTAAAAAGTGAGACAAAAAGCAGTTTTTAAAATTAAGTTTATCCTTTTACAGTTCATTGGATAAATTGCTGCTAGTGTATTTTTCTACCGATTGTCTGCTAAAGGTGTTCTTCCTGCAATGGATCCACTACCCACACACATCAAAACTCATTACCGAATATGTAGTAACTCATTATACATTTATAGCTTCTTTTTGATCCTCTCAATAGGTATCATTATTATTATTTTACCTCCATTTTACAGGTGAGACAACTGAGGCTGCGAGAGTTTAAGTGGCCTGCATGTGTTCAGAGCCCCTTGCCGGGGCTTGTCTCTATCTTTTCTCTCCTACAAGTAGGCCTTGGTGCACTATCTACTGTTTCTAACTCACGGGCTCCTACTACCACTAGCCTAGGCTTGGGAAACTACACAGAGCTTTTATGTAAACAAAATAAAAAGAAATACAGTGTTGTTTGAAATTATTTTATCTATCCTATGGTATTCTTTTATCTTCACAAGAGCAAAGTGGAAAATGAGGTACGGGGGATAGGAGATAAAATATTTCTTTAAAATTTCATTTGAATTGCTAAGCTATAAAAGTTTCTTACAACTACTCCAATAATAATAATAATAATAATAATATATGATTTGAGGGACATGAAATGATTAAAGAGTGATTTAAAAATCAGTATCATACTTAAGAGTTTTTAAAAAATTAGAAGGATTTACCCCAAAGCATTATTTAATTTACAAAATATTCACTCTGGCAATCCCAATAATGGGGCAACATCAGGGGGATTCTGGGAAGACAGTGATGTCAATCGCAGCATAGTTTTGGGGTCTCCCCTAATCCGCCCATAAGAACACAAAGCAAGCAGATAACAAAACAAAAACCTGGTATTTACACAAAACTAGGCAATAATCTCAAAATGCATGTAGATAGGGGCAAACCACCACAGCCACGTGATCTGCACGTTATTGGCTTCTGTGCCTGGGGGGAAGCAGAGGGCAGCAACGGGGAGCCTGACAGACCAGATAACAGCAGCCAACTGAGACCAGCAGTAGAAACTGGGAGGGGTTTTGCCTTCTCCAACAGCAGGTGAGTGCAGGGGGCCTGCAACAAGGAGGTTTGAAGAGGCTGGAGCAATCCAGACCTCACAGTAATCTAGGTCCAATGAACTCACAATCATAAAATCATAAAGGCAAGGAACCAAGTATTGTAAAAGTCAGGATAGAGGTTCCTTTTAAACGAAGGGAGGGGGCTGTGACTGGCACAGGGCACATGGAGGAGTCTCTGTGGAGGTTGGGAAAGTTCTATTTCTTTGGATGGGTGGTGGCTACAGGGTGTTTGCTTTGTAATAATTCATGGAACTATATGATTGTTTGGTGTGATTTGCTGTGTATTTTGCAATACAAGATTTAAGAAGGGCAACATGACCAGTAATGATGGAAACAGGGAGAGAAAGAGAGGGGACAATCAAGCCTATTTCTTCAAGAGAGGTTGAGACTCTCAGTTTAAGATTTTGGCAGCAGATCTAGATAATGTTCCTTTTCCTTAGCAAAATGTATCTGCAGTCATTAAAGTGATCAATTTAGCAAGACACATTAAACGGAACGGCTCCTTTTAACAGCAGCATATTTCTTTAATATGCTTTTGCTGCCAAAACTATGAGATCACAGGAGGAGTCATCCTCAGCCAAAAGTCCATGAGGAGAGATGGATAAATGTTTAAATGATGTAGTTCAGGAATTAACGGGTGTTTATGTAAAACAATTTTAATTAATGAAGCCTTCCAAACAATGCTGTTAGGTCTGGTTCAGTCCACAGGAAACGAACAGGAGGATAAAAGCACTGTGCTTCTCTAAATTCTCCACCTAGCGTGGCTGAGACCCCTTGCAACTTAATTACGGAGTATCTCCATTTATTTCAGGGATAGCAGGATTCCCTATCTGCATTTATTCCCAAGCTTTTCGACATAATTTGGGCTAGGATTAAAAACTGATCCAAACCAATAATTAAAATTTAAGGCTAAAGAACATAATCAAGGACAAGAAGCTTTACATTCCTGATCAAAAAGGGCAAGCTGCAGAACCGAATTTCAAATCCTCAAGGAATCCAGACTTCCTGGATCCATGGAGGCTGGATGAATCCCTGAAACTACTGCCCTGAAATAATCTTTAAACCTTAAAACAAAAATATCCGAGGTATTCTTAAAACCAAAAAATAGTTTAGCTTAACTAGTAAAGAATCTCTGCCTTGAGCACTGTGCTCTTTTAAGATCTATTTATACAGAATCAAACTGACAACAGCAACTCAAAAGACTAGATAAGAACCTATCTAATAAGCCTAGGGGCAATGAGTTCATGTTAATGGGGTAAGAACGACTCAGAAGAGGAGGGTGAGAATGGTTTCACAACTTGAAGAATGTAATTCATGTCACTCAATTATACATGTAGAAACAGTTGAACTGGTGTACAGCTTGCTGTGTATATTCTCAAAAACAACAAAAATAATAATAAATTATAAAAGGAAAAAAAAAGCATCCCAAAGCTTGGTTTCACTTCACCAAAATTCATTTCACTAAAATAACCTACTTTGGGACTCTAAAACAGGGAATGTAAAGGACATATTTTATCTCTGAAGTTTTTTGTTTGTGTATCTGCACAAAAGTACTTTCTTAACCAAGGTCCACTGGACAGAACACATCTTCTGACATTAGGATGGAAATAAGCACCTGTAAAAACTCTTACTACGTCTCAAGGTTGGTCCCATTTTATATATCCATTTGGCATCTTACTTCACTGCAATATACAGTTTGCGCTAGCAGCCTTTTCTCCCCTTTCTGGGGTGTCATGTGGTCAAACAGCATTGATAGAATTATTAGAAAGTCATCTTACTTGCTCTAAAATCTTCCCAGAGCAGATGTCAACTGTCAATGAGAACTTACAGACACACGTTCACACTTTACAAGAGAAAAAAAAAGACAGTATCAACCTCGTGATATAGGGGCATACAAAACGCTTACCTGTAGTTAAAATTTAATATAGCTCAAGGCTAGCATTAATCCAAACAACACAAAATAATAAATGCTGGAGAGGTTGTGGAGAGACTGGAACACTTACACACTGTTGGTGTGAATGTAAAATGGTACAACCACTTTGGAAATCGATTGGTGCTTCCTTAAAAAGCTAGAAATAGAAGTACCATACGATCCAGCTATCCTGCTCTTTGGAATATATCCTAGAGAAACAAGCGCCGTCACATGAATAGATACATGCACATCCATGCTCACTGCAGCACTGTTCACAATAGCAAAAAGATGGAAACAACCTAGGTGCCATCAATGGATGAATGGATAAACAAATTATGGTATATCCACACAATGGAATACTACACAACGATAAAGAACGATGAAGCCGTGAAACATAACATGGAGGAATCTGAAGGGCATTATGCTGAGTGAATTTAGTCAGTCACGGAAGGACAAATATTGTATAAGACCATTATTATAAGAACTCAAGAAAAGGTTTAAACACAGAAGAAAACATTCTTCGATGGTTATGAGAGTGAGGGTTATCTACTAACTAGATAGGAGATAAGAATTATCTTAGGTGAAGGGAAGGACAGCACACACTACAGGGGAAGCCAGCACAACTGGACTAAACCGAAGCTAAGAAGTTCCCTGAATACAATCAAACACTTTGAGGGACAGAGTAGCAGGAGTAGGGGCCTGGGGACCATGCTTTCAGGGGACATCTAGGTCAATTGGCATAACAAAGCTTATTAAGAAAATGTTCTGCATCCTACTTTGGTGAGAGGCGTCTGGGGTCTTAAAAGCTTGCAAGAGGGCATCTAAGATGCATCAATTGGTCCCAACTACCTGCAGTAAAGGAGAATGAAGAACACCAAAGACACAAAGGAAGTATTAGCCCAAGAGACAGAAAGGGCCACATAAACCAGAGATTTCATCAGCCTGAGACCAGAAGAACCAGATGGTGCCCAGCTACCACCAATGACCGCCCTGACAGGGAACACAACAGAGAGTCCCGTACAGAGCAGGAGAAAGGTGGGGTGCAGGATTCAAATTCTAGTAAGAAGACCAGAATTAATGGTCTGACTGAGACTGGAGGAACCCCAGAAAGCATGGCCCCCAGATTCTGTAGCAGTCCAGAACTAAAACAATTTCCAAGGCCAACTCTTCAGACAGGGATTGGACTGAACTGTGGGACATGAAGTGAAAGTCGCGAGGAGTGTGCCTCTTAGCTCAAGTAGATACAAGAGACTAAATGGGCAGCTTCTGTCCGGAGGTGAGATGGGAAGGCAGACAGGGGTAGGAGCTGGTTGAATGGACATGGGGAATCAGGGGTGTAAAGGAGGAGTGTGCTGTGACAGTATGGGGAGAGCAATTAGTCACATAACAGTGTATGTAAAAGTTTTTGTATGGGAAAAAATAAAAAGTAAAAATTTAACGTAGCTAAATTCTTGAATAATCCAATGGACAATAAAAAAGTTATGATTTTCTGCTTTGCAAACCTACACACACACACACACACTTTTTGCAAGTAGTAGGTGTGAAGGCACTCTGGGGAGCTTACCATAACCGTGCAGTCCTCGGAACCACTGGCAATGACTTGGTCGTTATGTGGGCACCAGTCTATGTCAAGCACCGGTCCTGTGTGGCCACATACTGTGGGGAAGGATTTGTCAATTCGACCAGTCTGAAAGAAGAGAGAAACAGGCCTATTATTGTAACATCAATGCCTTAGGGTTTATATGTTGTTCCAGGCCCATCTCCCTTATTACCGCCACACAAAACTCTCAATTACCTGCATGGGATGACATTCATAACAGTCAATAACAGCTAGTAAGAACTGTCAACTTTCATTTTCAGAAACAGCTACTATCAAGGACATTCCACCAAATTTCAAGGATCTAAACTTCTTAGAACCACAAGATTTTATTTAATCACAAAGACACAGCAAAATACAATTCTTACCAAAATACAATTTTAAATAGCCAAATTGTTAATTGTAGCTGTGTTTTTACTGTTTGAGAAACAAACAAACTTGGTATTATTCAAAAATGTAAAATATGACTTTTAATATAACAAGCTAATATCCTTGGATATACAAATTAATAGTTCTGGAACTAAATGGCACTGTGAGCCATCACAGTAATGCGACAAAAAGCTTTAGCTATTGTTTAGGGGCTAAGGGGCAGACATACTACATTTTAATGGCTCGGTCTCCCCATTGTCTTTCAATCAACACAAATGCCAACCAGAGAGTCTAATCAACACCAACTTAGACTTCCCCCATTTTCTAGTTCCACATCTCATTAAGAATAAAATGTTTCATGTTGGTCATAAACAGCCATCACAATTTGCTCTTGTCACACATTTGAATCTAAAAGTCAACCTGGCTTATCAGACCAGTTTTCTTATTTAAGGTGACTTACAAATTAGGAATGGGGTCAACCAAGACAATGGCTACTGCAACAACAGCTGTAACAAAAGCTTCTTCCTTTTTTGAACAGGTTAATGCCAGTCCATGCTGAGGTCCCGTACGCTCTAGAAGCAGGGGTATTAAAAGGAATCACTGCAACATCTTAACAACCTATTGTTGATGTTTTTGTTGCTCTCTTGTTATGGCAGGCTTCTTGGCAATTTTTTCAAGATCTGTAAATTCCATGATTTCCCCAACTTTGACTCAACTATGAAAATCTCCAGAGAAGCTATATGCTAAAAGGAAGACCATGGGCTCTAGAATCAGGCAGATATGGATTCATATCCAGGCTCTATTGCTTAAACAGCGTGTAACCGACCTTGGGTAAGTCACATAATCTCTCTAAGCTTCAGCTCATCATCTGTAAAATGGTAACAAGAATACATATCTCCCAGGATTACCGTGAGCATTAAATGAGAGAACATTTTTTAGCTCTTAGTACAAGGTCTAAAACCAAACGAAAACCAGACTTGTTGCCATCGAGTTGATTCTGACTCATGGCAACCCATGTGTGTCACAGTTGAACTGCTCCATAGGGTTTTTAATGTCTGTAATGATAAACAAAGGGAGCCCTGATGGCACAGTGATTAATTGCTCAGCTGCTAACCTAAAGGCAGTTCAAATCCACCAGCCGGTCTGAGGGAGAAAGACCTGTTGACCTATTTCTGTAAAGATTAAAGACTGGAAACCCCATGGGCAGTTCCGTTCTGTCCTATACGGTTGCTATGAGTTAGAATCAACTTGATGGCAACGGGTTTGCTTTTGGTTTTAATTTTATGGAAGTGGACTGTCAGGCCTTTCTCCCGTGGCACTGCTAGCTGGATTCCAATTGCCAACCTTTTGGATAGTAGTTGAGTGCAAACCATTTGCACCACTAGCGCAGTTAAATGCTTGATAAATCATAACTATTATTATAATGATCTGTATAAAGTATGTAATGAATCTACTTAGAAGTGTTCAACAAAAAATGATTGTCATATATTATTATTATTAGCTCTCTAGCAAAATATATTAATTTATGCCATCATTAAAAATGAACAAATATGTGTTATTTGTGAGTTTTTATGGGCCAGGCCCCATGCTGAGTGCTGGAGCCACGGAAGCAAACCTGCAGCCCCGTCCTGGCTGAGCGTGGAGTCCAGTGAGAGGAGACACATTTAAACAGCCAATTACAATGGAGACCTGCTCTACCAGGACAGGCACGGGGGCTGCAGGACCACAGAAGGCATTCAGCCAGGCGTGGGCAGGAGGAGTGGGGACCTCAGTCTTCGGGAAGGTTTTCTGCAGAGAAAGGTGAGTTCTAAGTTGAGACCTGAAGACGGCCTAGGTTTTATCATGTGCTCTCTCTTTATCCTTATAAAACTAATTAAACCCAGCTTGGAGCCCCTGAAAATAATCATAAAAAAGGAATTCACCAAAGAAAATGGCAACAAAAACAGTATTACATAGAATCTGGGTGTTAAAAGGTGGCTCTGCCATTTTCTAGCTGTGAGGCACAGGCCAAAGTACTTCATCTCTCAACCTCACTTCCTCACCTGTAAAATGAGAAGAATAGTTCACTCTTCAAGAGCTGGGAGAATTAAAGGACACAAACAAGGAAAAGCACTTAGTACTACTGTTCCAGCACCTGAAGTGCTCCATAAATGTTACCTCAAAACTTAAAAGTGTTGGAATCCCCTCTACCACCTCCTGATGGCTTCTTTGCTTTAATAAAGGATCAGCTACTAACCACCTATGCCAGGTGTTTTTACCTAATTCTCTTATTGCATCCTCACAAAACACTGTGTGAGACAGTTCTTTCACTGCCACCATTACCAGCTATCACCCCAGGTAATGTTCTACCGTGCAAGCTGGTGGTGGTGGACCTATATAATATAAGTGTTGCTTTTATTATAATAATAGCAATCGTTATTATTTAAACCATATTATTATGGGCTGAATTGTGCCCCCCAGAAATGTGTTATAAATCCTAACCTCTGTGCCTGTGGTTATAATCCCATTTGGGAATGGGTTGTCTCTGTCATGTTAATGAGGCAGGATTACTGCAGGGTGTGTCTTGAGTCAATCTCTTCTGAGATATAAAAGAAATTAAACAAGCAAGAAGTAAGCAGAGATGGGGTAAGATAGATGCCAAGACACATGGAGATCTCCAAGGAACCAGGAAGCAGAAGCTGAAGAGACAAGAACCTTCCTCCAGAGCCGACAGAGAGAGAAAGCCTTCCCCTAGAGTGGCACCCTGCATTTGGACTTCTAGCTTCCTAAACTGTCAGAAAATAAATTTGTTTGTTAAAGCCACCTACTTGTGGTATTTCTGTTACAGCGGCACTAGTTAACTAAGACATACATATGATAGATTTATTCTTATAAATGTGATAGTTCATAATTTAAAACATTCTGACACAGGGAGGCCGGGATGAGGTCTGACACACATTTTAATAGGCATTCCAGAAGAACAGCATAAAGAGAATGCAAGAGAGGCAAAAATTGACGAGATACTGGCTGAGAATTTTCCAGGTCCAATTAAAGGTATCAGTCTTCAAATTCACCAAGAACAAGTCCCAAGTAATATAAGTAAAAATAAATCCACAACTACTAAAATTCTGGTGAAATTTAGAACACCTAAAACAAAAAGAAAATTGTAAAAGCAACCACAGAGAAAAGACAGATTTACCTACAGAGAGAGTAATTAGACTAAATATGGACAGACTTCTCAAAAGCAATTATAGAAACAAAGAAATGAGAAAAAATCCTGGAAATGCACATAAGCATATTAAAATGCTTTAATTTACTAAAGAGTTGACAGGTTAAAAAATCATAATGGGCAATAGAAAAAAGTTACAGCTAAACGATAAAGACATGATATGGCAAAACTTGCGGTATGCAGGTAAAGCAGATCTTAGTGGAAAATGTATAGCCTTAAAATGCATGTATTAGAAGAGACTGAAAATAAATGAGCTAAGCATTTAACTTAAAAGTCAGAAAATGAACAGGGTACTATGGGTGGTGATTGCACAACATGATTAATGTAACTGATATCACTAAATTATACACCTGAAAAAAGAAAAGAAAATGAACAGAGTACACCCAAAAAGCATAAAGTTATAAGAGTAGACATTACAGGGAAAGAAAACAGATAACAAACAGAATCGACAAAACTGGATAGATCAGAAAATCAGAGAATATCAGCAATAAAAAAAGGGGAGGGAGGCATCACTTACAAATATGATAGAAATTTACAGAACACGAGAATACTAGGAATAACATGTGACAATATATTTGAAAACTCCAGATAAAACAGATAATCTCCTTATTTACTCAAAAAACATTTTCTAGAGAATAGAAAAAAAGGGGTATGCCACTCAATTCATTGCATAAGGACTGCATCACCTTGATACAAAAGACAGCATAAGAAAGAAAATTTTAAGCCTATAAAGATTGACATAAAAAATGAATAAATAAACCAAATTCCGTGTGAGTTGTTTTCAAAAAACATAAGCAAAGTGAAAAGACAGGTTTCAGACTGGGAGAAGACATATGCAACATATATAATGGACAAAGTCAACACACAACCCAATAGAATAATGGGCAAATGGCAGGAGCAAGGAATGATAATACTTTTTATTTTGTGTGTGTTAAACTTTTACATAAATGACACTTATACTGAACAGCAGTTGAATTGCTTCTATTTTCTCCATATTCCCAACAGTGCTGCAGTAAAACATCGTTCTTGTACAAAATAGAAGTGGTATGGCTGAGGAGCAGAGGGGACACATCTTCCACCTCACAGGGAAAGAAACCTGAATAGCCAATAAATATATGAAAAGATAATCAATCTCATTGATAATTAAAAAAAAAAAAAAAACACCCACTGCCATCAAGTCGATTCTGACAGCAATCCTATATGACAGAGTAGAACTGCCCTAGTGGGGTTTCCAAGGCTGTAATCTTTATGGAAGCAGACTGCCACATCTTTCTCCCGTGGGTTCGAACAGCTGACCTTTAGGACAGGAAAGGACAACTCGTGTGGACTCTTGCAGGAGAATATCCTCTTACAATTCCTTTTGAGAGCAATTTGGTAGCAGCTAGACAGTTAAGCCAGGAGAAAGATGTGGCAGTCTACTTCTGTAAAGATTTATAGACTTGGAAACCCTGTGGGGCAGTTCTACTCTGTCCTATAGTGTCGCTATGAGTCGGAATTGACTCGACAGCAGTGT